ATTCGGGCCTCCCGGCAGCGCCGCCTCCTGAGGGGCGGGCCCGGCAAGCATCACCTTTCAAAACCAGAACGCGCCAAGGCGGAGGAGACGATTGGGGTACCTGATAGGAGCCGCCGGTCCAGGCCAGATCCGCCAGGATCACTCGGCCATTAGCAATGCAGCTGTAGGTGATCGTCATTGTGGGCGGGCCAGTGAAGGGCAGGTTCCCGCCAGACCCAACCGCCCGCGGTAGCCTCGGGGCGGAGACTGGGGCGGGGCTCTGGAGGGGGCGGTGTATGCGCAGGCGCGAGGAGCGGTTGATTGGCAGTGAGGGAGGCGGGGCCATTTCTTGCCCGGGCTGAGTCTGTGATGAGCTGGGGGGCGGGAGCAGGGGCCGAGGTTTCTGGAAAAACTAGCTTTGGGTGAGTGAAGCCCTTCTTTGTGGCCATCCTTAAAACCACTGTAGAGCCAGTTTACTTCACAGTGCCCACATACAGAGAATTCATTCACAAGCTAACACATGTAAAAGATAGACCTTGTTTTAAAATAAAATTCATTAACAAGCATTGGCTGAACTCGCACGGTGTGCTAAGTGCCTTAGGTTAGCAAGTATGCATAGCTGTAGGCCTCACTGAGGAGGTCGTATTCTAGAAGTGGTTACAGAGGTACATGCAGATAAGTGCCAATCTCAAGTGATAAATATATGATGGAAAGATAAACTAAGTTGCAGAAGCTGGAGTGGAGGCAGTTACTCCTTGGGAGAGGGAGCAAAGCTTTCAAAGTCCCTCTGGGACTTAGAGGATGGGTTGGAATTCTCTAAGTGGGGAGGAAAGCTAGGACAGGCTGAGCGGAGGGAACAGCTCTTAAAGCTCTGAAGGAAGGGAAGGCTGGGGAATGGCTGTGAGTGAGTGGCAGAGGAAAGGCGTATGATAGGTGGGTGGGCAGGAGATGAGAGTGGTAGTAGTACTCGAATGACTTTTGTTATCCTCTAGACCTTGAATTCCTGGGCAAGAATTTTTTCATTAGTATGGCATTGCGGAAGAGTGGAAAGAAATCAGATAAAACTTGGATTCAGATATAGACATTGCTATTTACTCTGTGCCTGGAATGTAACTTAACCTTTCTGAGACTCAATATCCTAATCTATAAGATGAGGAGAGTTGTCAAGTTTAAATTAAGCAAATATGCAAATTCTTAGTATATAGTAGATAAGCAATTGCAATCCTTTTTGTGATAAATACATGAATGAAAATTACTTTATTGCTCCCAAATGGTATAACTTTAAAAAAAAAAAAAGCAATCCATGTCCTTCAGCGGTGCCTGGCAGGAGGTGAAGACAGGTAGTAATTGAGTTTATCTGAACCCAGGGTGATCAAACTGGGTTTAACAAGCAAGCCATAAAACTGGTCTGAACTGTAGCTCTTGAGAATGATGCCTTCTTGAATCATCTATCCTTCTATATAAAGAAAATCTTGAATCAATGTATCTTATCAGCTTAGAGGTAATGCCTTGTGCTACAGGTGGGGTGGCTGAATTAAAAGCTCTGGTTACATTGCTAATGTGTGGGAAAATGAAATATGTTAATTCGGAGGTAATGTGTTGTTATATTCTTGCTTACAGTAAAAGTAAGCAGAACAAACTTGGTCGTATTGCAGTGCACCTTCTGTTTATTAAATAGTGGAGCAGAGAGTGGCTGGGCAATGAAATAATGAGCTGTGGTCATGATAACAAGCACCTGATAGTTGGAGAGGTATATATATATGGGACCTCCCTTGTCTCAGTTTCACCTTATCATTAAAACAATCCTGTGTGTTGCCCTAACCGGTTTGGCTCAGTGGATAGACCGTCGGCCTGTGGACTGAAGGGTCCCAGGTTCAATTCCGGTCAAGGGCATGTACCTTGGTTGCAGGCACATCCCCAGTGCGGGGTGTGCAGGAGGCAGCTGATCGATGTTTCTCTCTCATTGATGTTTCTAACTCTCTATCCCTCTCCCTTCCTCTCTGTAAAAAGTCAATAAAATATATTTTTAAAAAAAAGCACAGCAGGTAATACAAAATATCACAGGTATTTCCATCTTTCCTTTGATAGTTTGACAAAACCTGGAAGAAGGAGCAGGTGAGAAGGTGGATCCCTGGGAAGGAGAAATCGGACATTTCACCATTTTCCATTTTAAAACAAGATTTTAGACAAGATTTTAAAACAAGATTTTAGACCTCATGACAACTTTCACTAATTTTACTGTCATTGCTTTTTAGAGATTAGCTTTTCAGAAAGAAAAGTCACTAATTTTTGAATCATCCTATTTCTGAGGTCACTAAAGAGTTTGTCAATACTCCACAAGCTGCAAACTTTCAAGTACTCACTAATTCAGGATGTGCTTTATTAAGTATTGACATTCTCCTATAAATAAGTAAAAGTTGGCTTTTATAATAAATGTTGTTTTCTCTGACTGTGGTGTATTTTTCAAATGTTTCCTCTGAAGCTTATTTTCTTCTTCTTTTTGTATCTATTCTTTTGCAGACATTTTTGCTTCTTACCTAGACAAACATGATTTTTTTATGATGATGTTGGACTTTACTGTCATTTTTGGCAAGGCTTCCTTTCCTAGCCTCAGATAAAAATATTCCCTTATTTTCTGTAAATATTCTGTTATTTTATTTTATTTTTTTAATATTTAAAACTTTAATCCACCTGAAATTTGTTTTTGTGTCTTTTGTGAGGTAGGAATTTGTGTTTCCCCAAGTGGACAGCGAGTTGTTTCATACAATTTATTGACTATTTTTTCCCCACTAATTTGAAATATTACTTTTACCATAGACTTAATTACCCCCTATACTCTGTAAATTAGACTTTTGAGTTGATTTATATGCCTGTTTCTGTGCTGATATCACAATAATCCAGTAACTGTACCTCAAATTGCTTTAAATTGAACAAATTGGAGATAATTAATATTTTTAGAATATTGAGTCTTCCCATCCAGGACATAGGTTGTTTTTCTAGCCATTCTTTATTATGTTTTCCCATAAAAGCTCTCTAGGTTTCTTCAAAAAGGCTTGACAAATTCTTAAATTTTTTTTCCCCTGGGGTATTTTGGCTGCTCTTGGTCATATGGAATTTGTTCCTCATTGTTTTCAAACTGGCTGTTTTGGTCATGTGTAAACTCTATTAGCTATGTTTAATTTATTTTGTATATAGCTCCTGCCTCATTATATTGCAAACTCCTTAAGGCCAGAAGCTTCACATAGGGCACATAGTCCTTTGCTCAGTGAGAACATCACACAGGACACTGCTGTTGACTGTCATATTAGGCTTTTCCATTATACTCAGCAACCAAGGGGAGGGCAGCCTCAGGTGGCCATGATATTTGTGGAAACCATGATGACTGAGAGGAGTGTAATGGGAAGCCAAGCAGACCTGGTTTGAATGCTCACGTTGCCACTTTCTAGTTGAGTAATCTTGGTATCTCTGAACCTCAATTTCTTCCTTAGGCTCACCTCTGAACCTAATTCATAAAATGAACTAACATACATAAAGCTTATTATGACTGGCTCCCAGCAGGTATTTCATAATGCATGGCTGTTAAGATCATTAGGAATCCATATTGTCACATGTTAGAGAAACTTTCTAAAATCCTTTCTTTCTGAGAAGTGTGTTATATATTGGTCTCCTCTCTCTAACTTGTAAGTTTCCTGAGAGCAGAGGCCAAGTATTACCAGTATTTTTATCCCCAGCACCTCACACGTGGTAGACACAACTTCGGTGGCTGCGTTTGATAGCATGAAGTACAACAACTTATTTAACCATTCCCTTCCTACCTTCCTTTTCTTTAGTTGTTTCTAATAGAAAAGAAGCTGAATTCTCATCTTTGTTAGGAAGGATAGGCAAGTTTAAGAGAGGATATGTCGATGGCAAACATCACTGCAGGCCACAGTAACACATACTCTAGTTCAGTGGTTCTCAACCTTCCTAATGCAGCGACCCTTTAATACAGTTCCTCATGTTGTGGTGACCCCCAACCATAAAATTATTTTCGTTGCTACTTCATAACTGTAATTTTGCTACTGTTATGAATCGTCATGTAAATATCTGATATGCAGGATGTATTTTCATTGTTACAAATTGAACATAATTAAAGCATAGTGATTAATCACAAAAACAATATGTAATTATATATGTGTTTTCCAATGGTCTTAGGCTACCCCTGTGAAAGGGTCGTTTGACCCCCAAAGGGGTCGCGACCCACAGGTTGAGAACCGCTGCTCTAGTTGGTTTTAGATCTAATTGCTATGTCAGGGCCAGCAGAGGGAGCACAGAGCACAGCTTTGAAAGAGAAAGCCTTCAATTTTTTAAAAAAGGAAAAGAAAGAGCTGACTACAGCTGTGCTGGGGAACAATTTAAAAGGCCACTCAAAGTTTTTACAGAGGAAGGAAATTGGAGATAGGAGGAAGGTCATTCCTCATTTTCATTCTCATCTGCCTTGTTTTCTTTTCTGATTCATTCAGGCCCAGACAGGCCTGTTCTCATCTTTTCTTTTGTCCCTTGCTCAGCAGCTTTTCACAACTCTTTCCACAGGAAGACACACAAGTGCCATCACCTTTTCCAGGCTGGTTTCTCTTTTAGCCAGCTCAGTTACTTAGCTCAGTCAGGGGATGGACATTGGTGAGGGTCTCAGAAAAACACTGAGGAACTAGGAGCCTTGATTCATTATCCCACTGAATAAAGC